GAGCGAATTTTTCAGATGAAATGTTAATTCATACAGTGCATGTGTCAGTGAGGAGTGAATCAAAAACTTGTCACTGCATCAAACACTTATTTCCATGGTAACCAAACTTATCAAATCCAGTACAATTACCAGATTTCCTAGGTGAGCACTAATAAACTGATGGTTGCCATGGTAATGTTATTACAGGGTAAAGACTTCATCACAGCGGAGTTGCTGGCACATCTGTATTCCAGTGGTGACCAGGTAAGAGTGTTACGTTGAAATGTCTTATGGAGTAAAAGTATAATGAATTAAGTTACTGATTCCTAGATGCCTGTATTGGTCCTATTTGTGGGGGCAAAGTGATGTCACATAACGTTCCACGTTGCTAAGACACGCACTACTGTACCATGTATTTATATTGGCTATGTGTGAGCTGCTGTGGAAGAGCCTACAGCTGAAGTGAAGAAAACGACACAAGCCCAATTTTGAGACAATCCTAAGTAACCAAATTTATATTTGTCACACGTGTGGGGGGGAATCTTGTTACACTGTTCAGGAGAGTCTCAACAATTACCTCAAATTACAGACAGTTTTTGACTGTTTTAACCAGTTGTGTTGATGTTTTCTCCAAAGAATACTAAGCTACATTGTATTGACTAGTCCTTTAAGTCACGATGACCCGACCCGACCCGACCTGATATTAATAGTTGTGTTTAGCATACATGTACCTATAATTTAAATCAGCAATGCATGATGGGATTTATTGAGATAAAGACAATCGATGAACTACAAAATACTTTTATAGTGCAAATTTGTAGAGTATCTCATGAAATTCACAACTTTTAGATTTGTTTTTTGGCCAAAATTACTAAAGATTTAAAGGGTTCTTGCCAAAATGTTGCAAACAACTTTAAGTAATTACCAGGTTGTACAGGTTAAGCCATGACACAAAGCAATACAAAGTGTTGCTATGGATGAAGTATCCTTGCTGTCCATGATTACTATAATACAAGATCTATTGTTTATTTATCACTAGTCTACACTAATGGAAGAATCGGCAGAGGAGGTCCAAAGACGAGATGAATTATTAAACATGTACCACGCTACTAAAGATGCACTTAAGATCATTGGTGACATCAATGCTACAACATCGTCCACTCCGGTACCACCGCCGGTTAATAATGAGTGGCTCAGACCGGAAGCGCGAGGATCATCGTAAGTTTCCTTCATTTTGTCCTTCTAAGAATTGGCTCATCAGCGTCAATTTCTTTCTATGTTGGTAAAACGTTACTCTCATACATTTCTAGGCCACCGTCTCCCATCCCGTCTCGCCACCGAGGTTCAGCACCCCGGCCAACTTCCAATGCAATAAATAACACTGGACATGCAGGAGTTCCAAGGCCGAGCAGTGTACCTCTTATTCCTTCTAGGCCTGATGTGCCGAATAGACCTGGTCCTGGTACAGCTCCTTCCATTCCAAGGTGAGTTCTCTTTCAGACACTATGCTTGCTTTGTTACACTGTATGATATATTTTCACTTGATGTATTAGCAGCTATGTTGGGATATATTTTTTGGGCAAGGAGGTGCAGCTCCATATCCATAATAAACCTGGTTTGCTAGTACCTATATGTACTGTCAAATAAAATGGCACTTGCATACACATTTATCATCCAAAACTAATAAGTGAACACAACTTGTAGATTACATGTGAAAGTACATTACAGCTAACGTAGCAGAGATCACTTTAACAATAGTGTTACATCAATGCTACGGTCTAAGTACAGTATATCACTTAAACATTGGAAATTGACTCTCACACATAGCCAGTGGTGGAGAAAAATATGTTGGTATTTATGCATGTTTTGAAAGCATAAC